TATTTATTTTTTTTTTTGTGTTATTTAAATTTAATTATAATTTTATTTTCAAGCCATTTCATTCTCACTCGCAAAATCTCTAGTCCCAATTGTCGCTTTGTTTATGTTGCAACTGAGCGGAGAAAAGAATGCCAGCTAGCTGTTTGGCTGCTGATTCACAGTCAACATTGGAGTTAGACCTTATTGATTCGAGAGTCGTTTAATTAGAGCGTCTCATGTTCGGCGGCATTTATCTTATCAGACAGCTCGACAATGACAAGATCGCGCTATCTATCTGTCAGCAGCCTCTGATAGTTTTTACCCGCTTCGGCGAATGCAGTCGATATTATTTGTGAAAACGCTCTCAACACGCTCAGATGTCCATGTCCCATCGATGCAGCTCCGCTCGTTGGCCTTTGACTCCCTGTGGCAGGCAGTAAGCAACATGTTCCAGCTGCCCGATGTGCTAGGTAAGTCGTAACGAACTGGGTTTGCTTGTCTGACTTGTCGTGCTGTGTGTTTGCTCCACAGTTCTGTGCTGCCTGTGGGGCAGCGGCCTCTCGCTGGGCTACTATCTGAAGTCGGCCTTCGTCTACGACAATCTGTGGCCGCACTGGTACGCCCTGATGGCTGGCATCGTGGTGCTGGTCCTCACTCTCGGCTGGACGGTGCGCAAGCATATCAAGCAGCGCTATAGCTTCGATCACTACTACATCATTTTCTACGGGCTGCTCTGCTCGCTGCTGGGCAGCTGCTTCCTGCTCAGCAAGCAGTTGGGTAAGCGCGGCAGTTGACTTCGCTTCACATTGAAATTAACTATCCACATTGCTCTGCCCAGCGGTTAGCTACTACTTCAGCTTTATTGGCTTGAGCGTGGTCTATCTGGCCGGCTTCAGCTATGTGAGCCTGCGCAGCGATGCCTCGGGCCAGCGGCCGGCGCGGATTGCCATGGGCAATGCTTCGCATGCCTGCGGCCTGGCCGCCGGCTTTGTCCTCTTCAACGAGTTCGAGCCGCAGCGCTGCGGCCTCGTCGCGCTGGGCGTCAACCTGCTGCTGCTGCTGTTCGTGCTCATCAACGAGCTGCTGCAGCATCTGGGCGTGCACAACTACAAGCAGTCACGTGACTTGGTCTTCAATCTGCTCAACGAGGAGCGGCTGGTCTTTCTGCCACGCCAGGCCGTGTTGGCACAGTTCGTGGACCGCCAGGACTATCGGCTGCAGCAGAGTCGCCAATGGCTTGTCCTGCTGCTGGGCGGACTTGTGCTGGTGCTGCAGAGCGGCTGCCTGCTGCACTCGCCCGTCCACCTGCAGCTGATGTGGACCTCCACCAGGGGATTCATGCAAGACTACCAGCTGTTCACACCCTTCGCTCTATACGCCGCCGGCTGTGCCCTGAGCGCCCTCCTCCTGCTGCGCTACACCCCAAAGCTGCTGTATTTGCTGATGGGCGTCATTCAACTGACGCTGGTGGCTGCCCTGCTCTGCATCTACAATGAGGATCAATCGGAGCATTGTTATTTGTTCCTCTGCCTCATCTACGCCAGCGCCGGCATGCTGTCCACTCAGGCTCTGCACTGGCTGCTGGAGTGCTCGCCATTCCTCTACGCCGAGCTCTCGCTCGCCGTCGGCTTTGTGCTGCAGCTGGCCGTCATGGAGGCCAGCAAGTACGAGGTGGGCGTGGACAACGTGTGGACAGCGCTATTGGCCAGCAGCCTCACCTACCTGCTGCTCACCTTGCTGGCCATCGTGCTGACACTCTGGCTGCAGCCTCGCTCCGCCAGCCTCGTCGACGTTCGCAATCGTCTGCTGGGCGTGCGACGCCTCCATCTGCCCGCTGCCCAGACCCAGTTCTGGCACACCAATCACTTTCTCGCCCACGACAAGCAGCCGCACGAGCTGCGGGCCGTGCAGCTGGATAAGACGCGCGTCTTTCAACAGTTTCCAATTAACTCCGACGCTGCCAATGACAAAGCGAATAAGTTTTGAGGTTCTTAGCGTTAAGATATTAGCAATATATTGTTTACCCAAGCGTAGATGCGTATATTATATTGAGATGTGCTTCTCAGCAATAAAAATCGAAGTAATACAACTTTGTCGTAGCAATAAAAATCGAAATGTTTTAAAACGTATATTAACTAGCGAATATTATTAAAAATAAAATCGATATAAACATATAATTACTTAAAGCTTACTGCTTCACGGTTTGCTAGGTTCAGCAATTTATTAGGGTCAGCAATTTAATAATTGTATGTTTTAAATACATTTATAAATTGGAGTGCCTTAGAAAAGCTGAGCTAAATATAAATATATAATTTTTTATT